AGTTATACATATATTAGCAAATCTTTTAGCTATCACAACTAAATAACTTTTACTGTGAAAGCAAGAAAATTTGCTCCTGCAATTAATATTTTTAGTTATACATATATTAGCAAATCTTTTTTTCCCGTGTGTTTATCTCCAAAATCGGTGAAACTTTTTTACTCGTCGGGTCTCCGATTGCTCTTCTCGTCGAAAGAAACGGAATAATAAGTTTCTTAGAGTAGAATCTCGCTCAAAGCGAGCGAAAAGTATTTTCGCTCGAAGCGAGAGTAATTGTTTTACTCAAGCTTGAAATGGATTCTGTCTGCATAGCGAGTGTTTCGATCAGTGTGAATATATTCCGTGACGGTGGAGAGTACATCAGATTTCAATTTCGAATGAAAATACTCACTGAACGATTGAGAGCGAAGAATTCAGTTTACATAAGCGAAAAATTACTCGGATTCGAGGTAGGTCGGCTGTCACTCTTTTTATCGAACAAAAGTTCAGTCTAAGAAATTTCGGGAATATAAAGACTCACATTTCGTCGGACGCGCATTATCAAATATCCCGTATTATGAAAATGAAATTCGGAGGAGCGGAGCGCGAGTGAAACTTTAATCGAAGGATTAATTCAAATACGAAATCACCCATTCTCGGTCGAGTCCGACGAAGATTGTTGGAACTTCACAGAGATCCGTAATATCGTAATCGGATGAGATATCGGAATAATATTAATCGAATTTAATCGCGCATCGCCAGAAACTCGTCGCCGCGCGACGTACACAAATTGTATCTTTACCAGACACTTCTTGCTGGTTCATAATTTTAGAAGAAATCAATGCGGACGACCTAAAATAAAAACTCTCTCTCTCTCTGTCTCTTTTTTTCTCTGGCATTGTACGAGCGGATGAACGAACGAACAAACGAACGGACAGGTAGCCGTGTGAAGGCTGCGCGAACATGTCATTTACACGTCGGCCGCATTTTCGAAACAACGGAATGTGGCTTAATTAACTTGTCAGCGCGCGCGCAGTGTCCAACTGTTATGCGAACTTCAGACGCTTTAGAGATTCCAGCGTGACAAAGTGAGTCTCGCATATGCTGCAGATTAACTCGGCACAAATGTGTTCCGAACACCTCCGTGTTACTTCTCGCCAAAGGCTCAAACTCGTCTTCGAACATTTCAATTATTCATTGAGAAAAACCACAGTATTGTTATGACCCGACAATATGGGTCGCTTAAGGGCCATGAAGATCTGGCGAAAGTTAGTTAGCGGAGTATTTTAAGGAGCCCTGAATTATTCAATATATAAAGCAGACATCAAATTTTCAGATCCCTTCGTGACTTGCAGAGCGCCCCATATAACTATTAAAGCAAATATAATATGAAATAACTTTAACATTGATTAATAAGAAAGCAATGTAATTATATAATCAACATATGTTGTATAGTGTGAATTCGGTTGAAAACTATTTTATCTTACAAATATCGCCGACACATAAATCTAAGCCGACGATGTGTGTCACAACGCGTTTCACATCTGTGAAAAGGATAAATGAAACAGAGATAAAATCGTTCTGTCCGGCGATTTGTCGCACGTAAAGTATTTAACGTACAAAAGCAGGAAAGGAGGATGGTTCACGGTCAATTGGTATTCGCTGCGAGTTTGTCGTCGATTGCGGCGCACTCAGCGCCGTTGGTAACGACTCATTCGTGACGACGGCGAACTTGTCGTTAAGCCGATACGAGAGCCCGGCGACGGCGGGGAGTACTTCCGATCGCCCGGAATGAACTCCCGCATTCACGGCGTAATCCTATTATCGGGACAAGCATTCCCGACCACGCAACGAGTGCGGTGCCGCGAAACAGGTCTGTCAGGCTGGCGCGCGTTTCTCTCCTACGCGAACACACTATTATTGCACAGCAAAATGCTATTGATGATGGCGATGTTTCCCGGCACGAATGGGCTAATATAATCGCCGTATTCTATCGCGAACGCACGCTTCAATTAGCTCGCGATATGAGGTATTTTCGAACGAAAACATGAGATTTACCTCCCGTTATTAGTTCTCTTTTTTTTTCCTTCTCTTTCTCTCCATCCCCCTGCCCCTCCTCTCTCTCTACATCTACAGGGTGTCTCACACTCTCCTCCGGGCATTTTGTGGGGACGTAGAACAGGTTGAGATGAACATAACAGTCCTATACCATTTTGCGACATTCACAATTATCGAGATATTAATTGTAGAAAACTTGTAAATGATCATGCAGAATATGGTAAATAGTTATAGTAGCGACGACTGCCGTCGTGTACTTATACTTTAGGTCAAATTGAACAAAAAAGTCCTCTACCATTTTGCAAATAATCACATAGATTTTTAATTATTAATTGAAGAAGATTATTGCACGATTTTGCGTGATAATGCACTCATCTTCTTCAATTAATAATTAAAAATCTATGTGATTATTTGCAAAATGGTAGAGGACTTTTTTATTCAATTTGACCTAAAGTATAAGTACACGACGGCAGTCGTCGCTATTATAACTCATTTATCATATCCTGCATTCACAAATTTTCTACAATTAATATCTCGATAATTATTGCGAATATCGCAAAACGGTATAGGATTTTTATGTTCACCTCAACCTGTTCTACATCCCCACAAAATGCCCGGAGGAGAGTGTGAGACACCCTGTATATGCATGTAATATTCTGAACTTGCAGTTTTCTCTTTTTGGCACTGTTGGTTTGCATCTGGTTTTGCTGTTCTTTAATTTCCAGCTTCAATTCAGTGACATGTTATAAAACACCTTATCCTCTGCTGCAAATTTGTCTTCCACGCACGCAATCTGTGTCTACATGTCTACGTACTCAATAGGATACCAATCCAAGTCTTTAAATTTTATATATCAATTACTACCTAAATATATAATTACACTCTGGCAGATAATTATATTTTAGGCAGATTCGTTCCAAAGCGCGTAATAAATTACGCTTCTTCTCTCTCCCCTTCTCTTTTAGTCGTTAAATTAATTCAAACTTAGCGAAAAAGAGATTATTGGATATAGAAAGAGATTACTCGCGCGTTACTCGCGCGCCTCCGACAAGTCGTTAAATCGCTGCGCGCTCCTCCGACTCTGCGAAAATGAAGTAATCCCCCTTCCCCTCTCCCTCCTGTCGAATACGAGAGGCAAGTGGCAAGATTGAAGGCCGATAGGTGGAGGTTTAAGATTGTATCTCAAGTTTATCGTGGCGCCGATTCTCGCGGAAGCACTCGGAGCTTCCGTGCTATCGAATAATCCGGAGAGCTCGGGATTTCGGACTGAATCGCGTATTAATCTCCTTCAAACTCGGCGTATAGCCGCATCCGTGTCCTTATCTATCGCGATACAACGCACGCGTGTATTCGAGTGCATTATCCGCCCCATCGAGCGCACCGCGATTGATTCCGTTTTCGACTGGATCGAGGGGCTCGTCCCGGTGTGCCGGAGCGCTCCGTATTGTCGTTGTGCTTCGGCACACAGAATGCAGCAGCTGCGGCAACGACTGCACTTATCAATAATCGATAGCGGCCTTTCTTTTACGCGCTCTTCCTCATTGTGATGCTGCGCCACGTAAATAGGGAAGAGGCGTCCCAATAATGTGGTGCGCGTCGTAAATTTCATTAGACCGATATCGTGTGACGCAAGAGCCACTTTCCTGAGAAACGCATCCTTAACGACAATACGAAGTAAAGGTATCAATGAACGTGTATATCTGATTCTGGGCATTCTTATTGTTTTGATCTTTAAACATGAATATTTAAATTTTTAAAACATAAAATAAATGTGGATATTCAATTTATGTTTGTGTATGCTATTGTTTTATCTATGCTGAAAGTTTAAGGCTCCTGTGTTAGGATTCTGTAACTCGTTATTGGCGTTAACGAGAGTTTCGTTATCGTTGCGCAGCTTTTCTACAGTATACAAAAGCTCGATAACAAAACTGTCGTTAACTCCAATAACGAGTTAATCAGGCGAGAAGTCCGCGTTGACGGTGGCGACACATCCATCAGTGATAGGAATAAGAATTTCGTTCATCGTATGTATAAAGCGAATTATGTATGTATGTGTGTATGTGTGTGCATGTGTGTAATAGCCACGTAAATTTTTCCGTCCGAATCACGGCGTTATTACTGACTGTAGTGCTTACATATCACACATAACACAATTGCGGAAGTGTCAAAATACTCCGGATATTGTTTTTTATAATATTTTAACTATAATAATACTTATTCTATCATATTCCGCACCGTCTCATAGCTGATCTCCTGTCAAAATAAGCCGACTTTCACACATATATTTAGCAGTGTTGTAAAGGTTATTTCGGGAAATGAACACTATCCGGAGCATTTTACGAGTGTGTAGGAACGATTGCAAATGTCGCTTTGTTAACATATCTTTTTATTTTTCAATGATCGAGCGCAAAATTCGGGTGCAATTTCTCGCTTCTGACGTCATCAACCAATATGGCCGCGGTGACTAGCCAGGAGTCTTAAATATTCGTATTTAAAGACCAAGACAATAAAAATGCCCACGATTAGATAGTCCTGATTGAATACTTTTATCTTATATAGGCTTGAGTAACTTCTGAAATATTTCTTCCCTTTTTGACCATCTATACAACCTTTTAATTCAAAAGGAAAAAAATTAGAATAATATCTGGTAAATTTCCGATTAATGTCCACTTTGTTAGAAGAATACTCTTTCAGTTTTTGCTCAGAATATGAAAATATTGCAGAAAATAGCTCAGAAAATATTCTATTTTCCAGCTGGTTTTAGAAAATTCCTCTTATGAGGCCATAAATAAGATTCTGCTAAAAATGAGATCATATTTTTTCGCGCGTGTATACATATTAAATTCTACCATAAAATATTTTACACGTAAAAATGTTAGGTTGGTGTAAAAAACTTCTTATTTTTCCTATTAAAATGTCGAAGTTTGGATCCTAGTTAGGTGTATCTAAAAGAAAAGTATCCATTTCATTCGTAAAAATTTAATTCAATTCGAACTTTGGATAATTTCATTTCCTATTTAATTCGACGAATCTTTTGTACCAACATAATAGACATATAGAAAAGAAAACTGGGAGAACTGATTACCGGTACAACTTGAGATTCAATTTATCGCGTTTATCCCGCACAATAAAATAAAAGCGATCGAACACAGAGATACAGGAGATACAGCGCAATGTTCGATTTATTAGCCGTACTTGAGAAATAAAGGTGTAAGTAATAAAATGTACAGAGCTTACATAGTCTATATTGCTTAATTTATATTCCAAAACACTCGAATCACAGCATACGCACACAAATGCACATTCATACGCATACACACACGCGCACTAAGACTCGGATAAGATATCTTCTAACGTTTTGTCGTCGTGAAGCGGCGAGTGTCCCAGCGTGGGGTCGCTCTCCAAGAACTCGCGCAGTTCGGATTCGAGGTCGGTAACACCGGACGGTTCCGTCGCGCTCAGCAGAGACGGCGGCGTTTGATTGTGCGCCATGCCGATCTGTATCTGAATCGGCGGCTGGTTCGCGCCGCCGACGATACCGATACTCTGACTCTGCTGACTGGTCGGGCTGAGGAGACTCGCGCTCTGTATCGGCGACGGCGCCGGCAACAGGTTGGACAGCACCGGATTGCCGTTGCTCGGCGGTAATAATGAATTGTCGGTGACGATCGTGGGGTTATGCGTGATCGGCTCGACCTCCATGGGCTCTGGCCCGCCTCCCAACGGCGCGATGCCCATCGCTCTGCGCAGACCGTCGACCGGTGCTATTGCGGAGGGTGGCAGTTTCTTCGCTATGTCGGCAAGGTTGTCGGTAATCTTCTCGGCTAGCATTACCTCAGCCTCCGTCGCCTTAGAAACGTTAGACAGATGCGCCGGCGGTGGCGCCGACAGACGTTCGTGCTGGACTTGCTTCAGCCGTCCCAACATCTGCGAGGTGTCGTCCAAACGATTCTGAAGAGCGGCGCGTTCTTCGGTGTATTTCAACTCCTCTTCTGAAAATAACGCATTATGTGCGATTACTAACTCGGTACGTTCGCGTAAATATGACATCGCGCTGATATTAGTAGGAAAAATATTTAAACTGCGGAAATTTCGAAAATGAGTCGAACATATTAGATAGATCAGTAAAGAGGACTCGGTCGTGTTTAGTTTTTTTAATAAACTTGAGGCAGAAAAGTTTTGTTAGGTCGATAATTACCTAAATTCTCCAAGAAGTTAACGTCGATGCCGAGCTCCGAGAGTGTTTTCAGCTGCTCGATGTCGACCTTAACCTTCTCCAGAGACGGAATGTTACGATTTACATCCTGATTAGGCTTCTCCAGCAGATGCCGAATCTTTTCCTCCTCTTCCTTCAGTCTTCGCTTTTCCTCGAGGAACTTCTTCGTCTTCCTGTGGTCGCCGCCCGTGAGAATGTCCAGTAGATCATCGACCATAGTTAACGTATAATCACAGTCCTTGGCAAAATCCAAGATCGACTCCGCGTACTGCACCGCAGTCTCGTCGCCGTAGGTCTGATACACGAGGTCTGTCTCCTCCTTGGTGAGATTCGCGAACGTCGAGTCATAGTTAGGGGCGTATGAACCGAACGCGCCGTAGTACAGGGATTTCACCGGCTTCGACATGTTCCTGCGATCCTCGCGGAATCCGGCCAACGCTCCCGTGCCGTGATTTAACTTCCCTATCAGTTGCCCTAGCGACACGGGTCTCTGATTGGTGCCTGGGATGATGCCGTCGCCGGGTACGATAATCTGCAGACTGGTGGTGCCGTCCTTCTTCTGTCGGAGGAAACCCATCTTCGAGTTGAGCCTCTTCAGACTTAGTTTCTCCGCCGCTGCTTTCGCAGCCCCTCTCGCCTGCTTCAGTATCTCCTCCGGCGTCAAGTCGTCCGGTATCGCCTCGAACTTGCCTAAACTGGCTAATCTCATCTTCCTCTGATTCTCTTTCCTTAGCTCCTCGGCCTCCTCGTTACGTTCTTCTTGCTCGCGCTCCCGCTCGATCTGTTCCTCCGTTACCGGGGCATCCGGGTTATTAGGATCCTCAGTGCCCAACTCGAAGCCGAGTTCTTCCTTCGAGATATCGTGCATGTATGTTAGGACCGGCCTGAGCTGCCGCAGCTTCTCTGGCAAGACCATTTTCAGGCCGACGTGCAGCAACTTCTTCGCCGCTTTATAGTAGATAGTATCGGGATGATTGTAGGTCATGGCGTTGTCGCACATGAGCTTGAAATCGTCCACGAATTCGTTCAAATTCTGATAGCTGTTGTCGTCTATCTTTTGCTTGATGGTGCTGAAGTCCATAGGATTAGTAATGATCTGAGAGTAACCGGGCGCGATGCTGTCCGTGACCGGCCAGGCGAAGAACTGCTGCGGGTCGCGCTTTTCCATTGATCTCAAAAGATGCTCCAACAGTCTCTGAAGCGGCGTACGCTCCGCGATCTTCCTAAGGACACACGTCCTGGGCTCACGATGTGGCGACAATGAGCTTATACTGCCAACTCGCAACTCGCCGCCGGACGGTGGCCTAGGAGGTAATAGCTGGTGATTGGGGATTTTTTTCGGCACCTCGGCAAGATTCTCGTCAGCATCGCCGACCGACTCCTGACTCGACTCCTCCCTCCGTCTCTTTTTATCTTTGTGATGGTGCTTGTGCCGTTTGTCTTTCTTCTTCTTTTTCTTCTTGAGTTTCTTGTGGCCCATATATCTGTCATACTCCGTGTCCCCCTGGGCAACGGAATAGTTGCCCAACTGTTGCTGGTAATCCTGCGACAGCATCGTGGCCTGACTCGGTGACTCGTTACCGTGCTCAGGCGTCCCGCTGCTGCCTCCTACCTTTAGAATTAATTTCAGGCTAGGCGGCTTGTCCGTCGTTGTGCCCCACTGACCCTCTATCGCAAAAGAAGAGACACGATTAATCGCTCGCTCCGACTCGGCCCCCCTCCCTCCCCTCTCCTCCCCAACGCGACTTTATGTATTTTCTTTTTAAGCTGCGCACTAAAATCGTTGCTGCCTATGGAAGCCATACACACGATTCGTTTGTAAATGTGCCGCATGCAGCGATAAGGGGAAAATTATGCACAGTGCAAGAGATCGAGAACGTACTAGCAACACAAAAAATATAACGTGTCAAATGTTGTAACGTGTGACTTGCGGGTTTTCGGATAGAGAGGTGCAGATTGTAAACACAAATTAAATCTACGGGGATATTATGAGAGTAAAATAGAGATAGATAGTTAGATAGGTAAGGTAGAGAAATAGATAATTAAACAGGTAGGTAGAGAGAGAGAGAGAGAGAGAGAGAGAGAGAGAGAGAGAGAGAGAGAGAGAGAGAGAGAGAGAGAGA